TTTAATCGACAAAATTTTGAAAACACTCCAAAAACTACAAGAACAAAGAATTTATACATTTAGATATAGGCAAGCATTAAATTTCATAAATGTATATTTGCGCAAATTCGTTTATATACATGGCTATTAATATCAAAAACGATTATTATACCCACAGCTGTTAAATACAATTTCATTTTAAAATAAAATAGATGCATCTGACGGTTTGAAAATTAAATCAAATTGAACTCGTTGATATAACTAATAAACATGTTCCTAACGCTTCAGTTAGCAAGTGGTTTTAAAATTATTGTTTATAAATGCAATATTACTGTTTACCTTTATAGAAGTGCTCAAAATTTGTAATATAGTAAATTTTGTTTGAATAATTATATCGGAATTTATTATTCCAGCGATTGTTAAAATAGTTTTGACGGTTGCGAAATTATCAAGAATATGAGACTGAACTGAAGAACTCTTGAGTAATTGCTAATATGTATTGAGTCCAGTTTGAATCAAAACAAATACATTTGAAGGAATACATACTTCAAAAGAATTGATAGAGTTTTGTATTCTTTGTATATCTTTGAAGAACTCAAAATCTTTCCATATTGTGAACTAAAACAACTGATGTATTTATAGCAAAGATCATAAATCATACCTTAGTATATTTACAGCAAAATATTATTAACGTAGTAGCAGTTTATACAAGGTATTAACCAGAGGTGAATGAAAATGTGCTGTTACTCCGTCTTGCCTTAAGTCTTATTTATATAGTAATAAACCTTTTGAATATGTATTAAGCCCAATAAATAATATTGAGAAGATCGCGTGTACCGCCTGTTTAGATATAAAAGACTTATTTAATAATACACTACCAAATTCTCTTTACGATGCAGCAGCATTAAAAACAATATCGACTAGGATCAAAGCAACTGGATTAAAATATTGCTGGAAAATACGCTGATTTTAAAAGACCTGCCAGGAGATGAGGTGTTGTTAAATCAACTAAAAGGTATCCACAGGGGGAGTGCCTCTCCCCTGCTGAGGTCACTTCTGGTACTTGACCTGGTTATGCCGGTCATACCTTGACGTACAGTGTAACAATATATTTTGCCTACCTCAGGGTAAGATTATGGGGTAGAAAATTGGGGACAGAAACTAAGGAGGTTGAGATGGAGCAAACAACAATCGATACTGTGCGTACGGCACTCAGGGGTAAGTTGGAGAGCTGGGTCATGGATAAGTTGAATCAAAAGGGTCAGATTAGGGTAACTACAAAAATGAAACAAAGGGATACTTACATAAATCTCCTGGAACAAAACGAACAAAATATGACAGACAAGAAATATCTCTAGCTATTTTCAATTCGGACGCCGCTTCGAGAAGACTTCCTGCTGGAAGAAAGAAAAGTTCTTCTTTCCTAAAATCAAGAATACACACAAGGGTTAGGAGACTTTTCTAAATTAAAACAAAAAAATGAATCAGAGAAATAAATCAAACATTTATTTTTGTCTCAAATAAACAGTTCATAAAAATACAGATGCACGAAAAATATACTATATAAAATATTTGTAAAATACAAAATTAAAAAAACTTACGTGTTTATCTGTTTACAAAGGAGATTGCTACAAAATCTTTCAAAATGGTTCCTAGGTTATTTATTAATGTGGCCAAAATAGATTATTGAAATTAAGGATATCCTAGTAAATGAAAATTGTAATGTTCAACCTTTTTCTACAAACGAATCATTCAATTCATTTAATCATCATTGACATACTCAATGACATTTTTTAGCCACGCCCTAACATGTATAATTTTAATTATTACAGATTCTTAAATTTTAAATGAAAGCAATTATTGCTACTTAGGAAAAAAATGTCTATTTTACTTTAAAAATTAATACATTAAATGTTTCCTTAATTCACATATTTCGCACTTAACTTTTGAAAAAACTTGCTAACAGGAAGACCATTTCTATAGTCTAGAACGACGATCAAAGACAACAAACGAGGTTGGAGCAAACAGACGACAAACGAGGCTGTGGCACACCCTATGTACTGCTTTCAAAATTCCCTCATGTTCTGGTATACTGCACAAATCTCCTAACTATTAATGTGGTTACTCTATTCTAAAATGCCATTTTACAGAGAGTAATTTTCCACTTTTGACCGGTCTTGAAACTTAAACCATTACACAAATTTTCCGGCTTCTGATTAGAAGTGCGACACGTATTTTCAACTCGAATGCTTCTGCCTACCTAAAACTCTTCTTTCGATTTATATACCCAACGCAAATCACTTCCGCTTACGTCTTGAAACCAGTTCGTGCCTACGAACTCAAAAAAAATAAACTACCTCGACCAACAACCTTGCAATATTATCGATCCTTTTAAAATTCCTTTGGAAAAGATAAACGTAGATTTCCTCTTGACAGGGGCGTACTACAAAATTTAATACACAAAATATTTTATAGTTAAAAACAAATTTAAAACGCTACAACAGGAGTTAGAAGTGCAAGCATATGCGGATGTTCTAGTAATTACAGTAAAAGTAAAATACGGAAGTGTTCTACAAAGCACACTCCAACGAATATTAAATATCTGTACTAGGTTATGTGAGAGAAAAACCTCCATCAAAATTAACAAAACACTAGTAGTCAATTTTACAAGGAGACGGAACCTAGATAATATTTGGATGTTCGATATGTATGGAGAAACTTTCAAAGAGCTAAAAGAGATCAAATAGTAAAGGAGTTATACCAACAAATGACTAACATTTACTTAATATAAACTTAATAAGCTTCAACAGCAAAATGCTTAATCATAGTAGGAGTGATGTCGACTACCTAAACCGCTTCCATGATGGTCATACGTGACTACCATACCATGTAAATAGAAAAGGATAAAAGGAGTTGTAGATGGAAACATACAAAAAGCAAACAAGACGCCAAAAATCAGAGCGAAAAGATACCGAGACCAAATTTGTAAAGATAATAAAGATCATCTAGAGGGTCCCATTAAGGAGATTGTTCGGTGATCGGAATGTTTTTTCCCACTAGCTGTTTTAGGTATTGTAATAAATATGAAGGAGGAGATAGAAAATCACCTTTAATCACCAAAGAGGAGATAGAAAAAGCAATATTAAACTCAAAAAACAATAAGGCACCTGGACCAGATGAGATCCCGTCAGAAATACTCAAATTACTAGATGAAAGGGGAATTTCAGCACTACACAAAATATTTAATTTAATTTATGAAACTGTGTTATTTATGAAAAGTCAATGCAAAAAGATGTGAGGATCACAGACTCATTAGCCTGATGAGTCACACTTTAAAGATATTCTTAAAAATACTACATCAAAGATTATACAAAAAATGTGAATGGGACATCAGTGATTCCCAGTTCGGGTTTAGGCAAGGTTTAGGAACACGAGAAGCAATACTAGCAACACAGGTGCTGGTCCAAAATTGTTACGATCAGAGGAAGGATGTGTTCCTATGCTTTTTAGATTACCAAAAAGCGTTTGATCGTGTCCAACACCACAAGTTAATGCAGATTCTCAAGAAAGTTGATATAGACCAAAAAGACATAAGATGCATTGAAAACTTGTACTGGCATCAAACGGCACAGCTAAAAATAGACAATTCTATATCCAAGCCCATACATATAAGAAGAGGCGTTCGACAGGGATGTGTGCTTTCCCCTCTTTTATTTAACATTTATTCGGAAGCCATATTTCAAGAGTCTTTGGAGGATGCAGAGATGGGAATTAAGGTGAATGGAGTATTGATCAACAACATACGATATGCTGATGATGGTGTCTTAATTTGTGACAACATAGTCGATCTTCAACAACTTGTCACTAGAATCGGAGAATACAGTGAGCGAATGGGATTAGAGATTAATACCAAAAAGACCAAATTCATGATCATCTCCAGAAACTTGGATGCACTTGAAAACTCCACCATAACACTGAATAGTAAATCCATAGAAAGAGTGAGTAAATTTAAATACCTGGGATCGTGGCTTTTTGAAGACTGGGCATCGGACAGGGAAGTAAAATGTCGCATTGAGCAAGCTCGACAAGCTTTCGTAAAATTCAAGAAGGTACTGACTTGTTCAGAGTTCGATCTTCAACTGAGACTAAGGTTTACTAAGTGCTACGTATGGTCAGTGCTGCTATATGGCGTAGAGGGCTGGACACTCAAAACGAGGGATATAAACAGATTGGAAGCTTTCGAAATGTGGCTTTATCGCCGTATCCTAAAAATACCATGGACAGCGAAAATCACAAATATAGATGTCCTTAAAAGAATAAACCAAGAACGCCAACTTTTCGAAACCATCAAGAAAAGGAAAACGGCGTATCTAGGTCACATCATGCGAAATGAAAAATACCAGTTCCTCCAACTTATAATCGAGGGTAAAATTGAAGGCAAGAGAGGAATGGGACGCAAGAAAATGTCCTGGCTCCGAAACATAAGGCAATGGACAGGGATTAACGACATACAATCTCTGATACATATTGCAAGAAATAGAGAATTAATGGAAAATGTGATCGCTAACATCCATTAGTGGATTTGCATCTGAAGAAGAAGAAGAATAAATATGGATAACAGTTATTGTTTTAGTATCGTATATATGCCTGGTTGCACCAACAGATCTTAAGCTCCAGCTTAGCCCAGCTCTGCTTATAGCTAGGGCTGCCTTAACTCTCACTTACGTTGCACCATAATTTTCGATTCTAAAATATTCTTTATATTCTTAAAAATAAAAATACAAAATTTGGTTGATCGCCGTCGGACGGTTGGTCGTGGTCGGTCGATCAGTCTGAGCTGAGGCCTACCTAAAGCACGTCTTAAGCTTAAGATATGTTGGTGCAACCAGGCAATAGTGATCTATCCATGTGGTTCCATCAAAAACTGGACACAGAAATGTTATATATTAAATACATCTTTATATTCATAATAATCATAATAATATTCATCAATAATTAAAGTCCATTATTATTTTTTGCAGGGACGTGGAAGATACGAGGCTAACTTGAGACTGGCAGCTGTTAACAAACAAGATACGGAAACTGACTACATTTTAACGGCTTACAATGACCAAGGCTCTCAAACTTATAGAATCAAAATCTCTACTAGTCCGGAACCTGAAGGTATGTTCCAAACTTAGATGCTCTAAGAAAAATATATATTTTATCGATAGCATGAAATCTGTATATACGTTGTTTATTTAAACTTTTTATTAAAATTATACACCCCAGTTTAAACTTCGAGAATAAATTGAAAAATTGAAATTTCCTAATTTGGTTAAAAGGTCTGGGATTCGGAGATTTATTTGCGCATAATATCGGAGCGATGTTTATGTGAAAATCAGAATGTCTGTATATGATTGTGTAAACACAATAAAGTAGAGTTTGGTTACAATAATTTAATAAGATTGCTACATCTCTATCGTAATGGTATACTACACTTTATTAAAAAAATATGGTTGATACATTTCATTATTGTTATCGCGTTATTATAGAGAATTTGTTACCAGTATTAGTGGTATTTATATTTTATTGGACCTAACAAACCCCATAATTTGCACTGCTTTGATAAGCGTAGCTAAAGAAGTAATCGTAGCAGTTACGTGTGATAGTTAATTCCAAATAATTACCAGGAAGTATTATCATGTGAAACCACATGGATAGAGATATTGTCCTTGTAAACTTTCTACTTTTTTCTTCTTCTTCTTTTTTATAAGCAAAATGCTTGTTCAATGTCGATTAATGCCTCTATTGGAGGTTATCACTCCATCTTTTGCGTGGTCGCCCGATACTTCTTCTACCTTTTGGTGATTTGTCCCTCGCTATTCTGACTAATCGGGTCTCTTCCATTCTGTTTATGTGTTCGTTCCATTCCTTTTTTCTGTTCAGTGTCCACTCATTTATTTCTGGTATATTGCATTTTCTTCTGATCTCTTCACTCCTCATTCGATCCCTCAGTGTGTTTCCTGTAATTCTCCTCAGTAAACGCATCTCCGCTGTTTCTAGTAGTTGCTGAGTTTTGGAGGTATCCGGTCTTGTCTCTGAAGTGTATGTCATTATTGGTCTTATTGTTGCTTTGTAGATTCTTGATTTCACGTCGGTATTAATGTGGGGATTGCGCCATATCGTGTTATTAAGACAACCTGCTATTTTATTAGCCTTTTGTACTTGATTTTTCACTTCCTTCTCCACATCTCCGTAGCTAGACAGTGTAATTCCTAGGTAATTTGTCTCCATTACTTGCTCAATGCTGATACCGTCGATTTCCAGTTTACATCTAATTGGTTCTTTACTGATTACAATTGTTTTAGTTTTCTGTGTAGAGATCACCATATTAAAGTCCTTTGCCCTTGTGTTGAATCTATGGGTTAGTCTTTGTAGATCGTCTTCATTGGATGCAATTAGGGCCGCATCATCTGCATAGCAGAGTATTCTGATTTCTTTGTTCCCCATTTTGTATCCTCTTCCTTTATTAATAGTATTGATGATTTCATCCATGATTAGATTGAATAGCGTTGGACTAAGCGAGTCTCCTTGTCTTATTCCATTGCCCATATCTATTGGATCTGTAAGCTGGTCATCTATTCTGACTTCCATATTGTTGTTCTGGTAAATGTTCTCTATTGTTTTTATAACATCTAGTGGAATTTCTCTATCGTAAAGAAGGTGAATTACATCTTTAAGCTTTACTTTATCGAACGCTTTCTTCAGGTCTATTAGACATATGAATGCTGGTCTGTTATACTCTAGTGCTTTCTCGGTAATCTGTTTTATGATGAATACTGCATCTGTGCACGATCTTCCTGTGCGAAAACCCTGCTGTTCATCCGCTAAGGTAATTCTCTGATTTATTTGGCCTTGCAATATTTTGGTTGTAAGCTTCAAAGTGGTGTTTAATAAGTTGATACCTCTGTAGTTTTCAGGTTGTTTTTTATCTCCTTTTTTGTATAGTAGGATAAGCTCGCTTTTCTTCCACTCTTCAGGTATTTTATTATGTTTGATGATTTTGTTAATTAGTGCTGTTAGCTGTTCTGTTAATGCTTCTCCACCATATTTCAATAATTCATTTGGAATTCCATCTTTACCTGCAGCTTTTCTGTTCTTCAGTTTTTCTAAAGTTTGTTTTACTTCTTGTACGGTTATCTCGACTTCCTCGTTTGTAATGATTTCTGGTGTTTCTGGTTCTAACATCATTTGCTGTTCATCATTATAAAGCTTCTTTAGGTATTCAATCCATGTGTCGTTATCTATGTGTTTCGGTTCGATTAAGTCTTTCATCTCTGATCTTTGGCCTCTTATGAAACGCCATATTTCCTTTTGTAGACCGTAAAAGTCGTGTTCCATTTCTTTTGAGAAGCGTTCCCAGTGTTCGTTTTTAATTTTTCTTACTAGTGCTATTGTTTCGTTTCTTATCTTTTTGTAATTGTTGTATTCTTGTGGTGTTTTGTTAGACATGTATCTTAAGTAAGCTTTCTTTTTTTCTTTGCATTTTTCTTTTACTTCTGCGCAGAACCACGGAGTTTTCGGCTTTTGGAAATATTTATTTTTAAGAATTTTCCTTTCTCCTACAGCTTCTTTTGCTGAATCTAGGATGCTTGCTTTAGTTTTCGCCCAGCTTTCTTCGATTCCATCACTTTCTACGATGTGCACGTTGTCGAGTTTATCTTTGACTCTCTTTTGGCATAAAAGTTTTGTTGATTCGTTCTGCAGACTCTTGACTTTTATCTTTGTGGTGTATTCTTCTTTTTTATTTATTTTTTTTAACATAATATCTAATATGACATGGGTGCTCTTATTTGTATAATATACCTTTAGAGTATATATCAAATAATACCGGGAATAGCACGCACCCCTTTCTCACTTTGTTGCCTATTAAGATTGTCTCATAAAAACAGTCATCCAGTTGACTGTTGGCAGTTAGGTTATAAGTAGATAATATAGGTAATTCTTAAGTTTCTCTCATCTATGTTTGCTTCTTTATATTTTACCCGATTAAATGCATTTGTAAAGTCGTCCATACATATAAGTGGCAGTTGTCACCTCTGTATCTTTAAATTAGAACTTGCACTTTGAAAAAAGTCCTGTTTACCTTATTCTTACCTATTTAAAGAGAAGAAGGAAAACCTGTATACAGACACATGTGGCAAGGTAGTGTTAAATAATTACTAATACTCAAACAAAGTTGTGCCAGCACGAGATGCCCGACGGGATTACACCTTTGCCACTTCGTCTCTTCAACACTCCGAGACGATCGGTGTCCAACTAAAAACCTCTTCTCTGTCACTCCATACGTCAGTATGGAAGGGCCGGTTAAGGCAAAACATGTCTCCTGATGCCCTGCTATCACCCAGTTCCTATTCTTCCTCCCACACATTCATCGGGAAAACTACACCCAAACGAACCAAAGACTTTCAATCCCCTGCCCTCGTCCCGTACTCAAAAGTTCCATCAACTCCCACCCTGGTGAAGAGTAACTACCAGATTCTTGACGTATTTCGTGGACGTTACTATCGCTCCCACGCACTTAAATGCAACCATATATCTCTTTCTGTAGCCACTGAATACTAAAGATTTCTTATCTTCCACGAGAGTAAGATCATGCTTGCTCATCCAATCCTCAACGACGACACCCGCACGCATAATCCGAAGCAAGAGTTTGTCCCTGTCCGTGTCGCCTTCATATATAGCGAGGTCGTCTGCGAATACGAAGGGTTAACACCCTCCCCATATTTGAAGTTTAACACCCCGTCATATGCCAGGTTCCACAGCGTCAGACCGAGGACAAAACCCCGCGGATTCCAGCTGTTACATCCACTATCACACCATTTTTCACCACAATCTTCTGCTCGGAAACATAATCAGCGACCACGATTTTTAGATACCCTATATAATTCCTTGCTTCCAATGAACTCATTACATGACCCCACTGCAATGTATTGAAAGCATTTCGGACGTCAAAGAGAATTTCCCGTGCCGCCCTAAGCACATCGGATACCGCATCCACTGTACTTTTCCCCTGACATAAACCATACTGCACTAACTGTACTTTTTCCATGGCAAAAAGCTTGTCTTGGAGACAAGCCTTCAGATCTCACAATCACCTCCTCGATAAGTACACGCAGCATTCTCTCATATAACTTTTCAATGCAAGGAAGAAGGCAAATAGAACGATATTTTACCTTCTGTGTACCTAAAGCATCTCGAAATCTAAATGGTGTCCATGACACTTGTTCGATTTATTTTTTGTATTTTTACAATTTTACCAGTTTAGGTTTAGATTATTTAGATCTTGTTAAATGTAGGTGTTAACCATAATATTTTTGTTTATTCATAAGGCTGAAGAAGTCTGCACAAAACTTGTCAGGTCGTACAGTTATTTACATTTTTTTCCAATTGTCTATCTAGTTTTTCTTCTACACCTATTAGTAATTTGCCTTGGTTTACAGTCAATAACCAGACTCTTTTAAGGTTGTATCAGCCTGAATCTTCGTTAACTTTTTTGTGCATGTTGGACGAAAGGTGTTTATGTTGCAGTAGTTGTATCAACATACCTTGTTCTGTAAGTTATTTGCCCTTAGCTATTCTAATGGTGTTCATTGTTGCTGATTTGAAGATTTTCTTATATATCTTGTGAGATTCTATTTACTTTTTCAAGTTCTTGTTTTGTATCGTCTTCTTGAATACCACTATGTGTTCGTCCTTTATTTGGCTTATATCTGCATTTTTATAAACACTACATCCTATTTTATTTAACATTAATTTTATTCTATTAATGAGTAGTTCTGACTTGATCTCGGCTCCTTGCTATGTCTTGACAGATGCTATGGAATTACGGAATTTTTTATTAATCATAATGTAATCTATTTGATTTCTTACTGTATGGTCTATAATATTCTGATGTGATTAGGTATGGGTTATATATTTGAAATAGGTTAAAGTAATCACAAACTCTTGTTCTGCTGCAAATTTAGCCAGTTAGTCCCCTTAGTCATTTGTCTTTTTAAGCTTTTTCTCTATTAAGCCTATTAATTCCCTAGGCTGACTTCTAACCAATTTTATGGTTTTTACTTTAATTGTAGGTCACCCATAATCAAAGTTAGATCTTTGTTATGGAGTTTTGTTAA